AAGCGGTACGAGGGGGCGAGGGGCAGTGGGTCCCCCTGAGAAGTCCCTCCTTTCACCCCCAGAACTGGGGTGGGGGAAGGACATTCACAACAGCCACCACTATGGAACTCCTGCTGTGCCTGTTGGTCCCGTAGGCACCAGTTGGATGAAGTATTGTCATTTTCTGGGGGTGTTGAGGAGGTCTGTGAGTCCCAGGGAGTGGCCAGGACCCACTGGAGGTGGGGATGCAATGTTCAGATGTTCATTAGAATGGCTACTTATCATCATGTTTGGAAGTGTAAGCATTTCAGTATCCATGGAAGATTGGGTCCAGGACCAACACCCCCCATCACCATGGAAACCAGAATCCATGGTTACCAATATCCTTGGATGCTCTGGTAGAAAATGATGCTGTGTTTGCTTATCACCTAGGCATACCTTCCCATAGACTTCAGATCTTTTTCTAGATAACTTATAATTCCCTACAATGTAAATACTTATAAGTACAGCCTTACATAAATATAAATAGTATAATACTATCTCCTCCTCCTCCTCCTCCTCCTCCTCCTCCTCAGTTCTCTTTTATGCCAGTCCTGGGCCTTGAAGTCATGGCATAGGTGCTGTCTCTGAGCTGTTTCATTCTTTTTCACTCAAGGCTGGTGCTCTACCACTTGAACCACAGCACCATTTCTGGCTTTTTGGTGGTTCATTAGAGATGAGTCTCATAGACTTTCTTGCCCAGGCTGCTTTCGAATCTTGATCCTCTAATCTCAGCCTCCTGAGTAGCTAGGATGACCGGTATGAATTGTCAGCGTTCAGTTTAGCCACTATGTGGGTTAACGAGGTGGCCTTTTCTGTAGCATGTGGCAGCTGGGTATTCCTGTGGATGGGCCAGTCTGTTTTGGACAACTTCTGGGCATGTGTGACCACGTCTCCCTGGCACTGGGTATGTGGACGACCAACCTTCCCCACCCCCACCCTCACCCCTCATCCCAAATCTCAGGTCCCATTCCTCTGGCCCAGACTCCCTCTGTTCCTCCCACTCTGAGAGGCTGCAGCAGGCTCCTCTGACGGCCCCTTCCAGACAGGTCAACATCTCAATATCGGAGGCTCCTGGAGGGCTGTCTGACTGGTGTCTGCTGTCTCTTGTTTTTGCAAATTCTTCGTGGTGCCGCTGTGATTTCCTTCACAGGGCCTGAGACTAGAACATTTGTTTCTGCTGGGTTTTAATGGCTACCAAAGTGCTTTACCCTAAATTCGAGCTTTATTTATTTAGTCCCATGGGGCTTAAACTTATGTGTTGTTCTTTAGCTTTTTTTTTTTTTTTGGTCCTGGTGCTTGAGCTCTGGGCCTGGGCACTGTTCCTGAGCTTCTTTTGCCTAAGGCTAAGTGCTCTACCACTTGAGCCATAGCACCACTTCCAGCATTTTCTGAGTAGTTTATTGGAGATAAGAGTCTCATAGACGGGCTGGGAAGGTGGCTCAGTGGTAGAGCGCTTGCCTT